ATATCTACTCTACTTTCTCTTGAACAGATATATACAACCATCTAAAACTTTAAAAACTTTCTATCTTTGATTGGTACATTTATTTCTGCCCATTATATCTACTCTACTTTCTCCTGAACAGATATATACAACCATCTAAAACATTTAAAAACTTTCTATCTTTGATTGGTACATTTATTTCTGCCTATTATATCTACTCTACTTTCTCCTGAACAGATATATACAACCATCTAAAACATTTAAAAACTTTCTATCTTTGATTGGTACATTTATTTCTGCCTATTATATCTACTCTAATTTCTCCTGAACAGATATATACAACCATCTAAAATGTTTACATCAATTATTTATCACTTAAAACTATTCATGACATCAACATACTTACTTTTTGAAGTGTGTTAGTTTAGACCCTGGATAAATTTCTTGGTATGTGAAATATTTTTCCCATTCTAACAGATTAAGCAACTGTCTTGCACCTTCTGGCCACCAAGTCCTGTTACAAAGAAATATGGAATACAGTAGACTATTCTGGTGACACAGGATAGTAACAGACTATATAAGGAATACAACAGTATTCTGGTGACACAGGATAGTAACAGACTATATAAGGAATACAACAATATATTCTGGTGACACAGGATAGTAACAGACTATATAAGGAATACAACAATCTATTCTGGTGACACAGGATAGTAACAGGCTATATAAGGAATACAACATTATTCTAATAGATTGTTGTATTCCTTATATAGTCTGTTACTATCCTGTGTCACAGTGACACAGGATAGTAACAGACTATATAAGGAATACAACAATCTATTTTAGTGACACAGGATAGTAACATATAATGTAACACTAAACTGAGAAAGTACATGATTAACACTTCAATCAAGTGTAACATGTTTCTTTGTTAAAACTATTATCAATGTTCACTCACCGTGAAGCAACTGCTAAAGGTATACCTTCATTGACTAGACTTTCTAATATTTCTTGGACAGCCGGGTAGCCCTCAATCTTACGTCCAGAACTATCACACACACTTCCATTACTAGAAATAGGATCAACACATATGAGCAAATGACTTATAAATAGAAAAAGAGTGACAGGAAATTATGAATGGAAAAATGAAGTCTCGATCAAAGAACTGAAACCAGAAATTTCCCCAACAGAGTGTTTTGTTAATTCCTAAATTGTAGCATTACAAATGAAATGATCACATTAAATATTATATATATTCCACCTTCTGAAACTGGGGAAAAATCAACCCTTTTTGTAATCTTCATAAACATTAGAACTGCAAATATTTTCACTTTACTGATATTTATAACAAATGTATGTACAAATCACTAGTTAAGCCGCATTTGAAATATTGGGTACAGTACATGCTCACTACACAGAAATGCATTTTATAAAAATTTGCAAGAATTCATAAGTACAGAATTTTGAATCTCTAACTTATAAAATTTTACTAACCAAAGAACTTGTGTCCCACAGTGAAAGGCTTAGCTCTAACATTCTATTGTTGTTACTACTTCGTATACAATTAGGTTTTTAATATTTACTCACTCACATGGCAACTGTACTGCCCCTCATAGATTAATATACTCTAATCTTGACTTATTGGAAAGGGTTCAGAGGAGGGCTACTAAGATGATTCCAGGGATGGAAGAGTTACCTTATAGCTACAGGGAGGAGGTTAATATCTCTCATCTTCTTTTGAGAAAAGAAGGGAAATAGGTGAAATAATTGAGAGAGCCACAAAGGGAACCTTGTCATCCCTCAAATGCAAAGCTAATTTCATATTATTCTACTGCACAACCTGACAATACTATTGGTTCAAATTGTGTACACTATCACACAAAACGGTACATTTCAAACATTCACAAGTAAGTTGTGGTATAATTAAATGTCAAACTAAGTCTCACCTCAATTTCCTGAAAGGTGGATCAACGTGTGTATCAACCCAAAATGGCCACAGAGTATAGTCTGTAATAAAAAATTCTTACAACAGATTAAAATATTTCTGCTGTAATTCTGAGCTTTTAACACGCATTCTTATTCAATCAGAATTGTTCTTTACTTTCAATACAAGCGTATTATTTTAAGATTTTGGTTGATTTCCCCAAGTTCTTTTGAGTAACTTTATTTAAAAGTTACAGAATGTTAACTGCTTCTTCAAATTATATTTTATATATATATATATATATATATATATATATATTACTATTTCTGTGATAGCAAAAAAATGCATAGAATGTTTTGGAAGGTCTAATAAACCCTAGAACTTTCACCAAATCACAAGAGTTAAGGTTTTTCTGTAGGTCATCAGGTTTATGTATTAACTACTTGTGTATATATGTATAACTGTACTTCAGATATTTGCACAAAGGCCATCTACAGTAGTCATCCATAATTTTGAAGTCACAGGCTAAAGAGAAGGCAACTAATCAACAGCACTTAACCCTAACTCTTTGACTACTATAATAAAATATTAGAATTGCAGGTTTAAATATTCTTTGAAGTATGTATGTAAAAGGTATGAAAAGAATTTTGTGATTATGAGCCACTGAAAAGTGAGGTTCCCAAATCATTTTAATATAATGTACTCCCCCTCTGTGTTTTATTGCTGAAGTCATGTCCCTGTAGGGTTGTTTCACCAGTCAGGCATAGTGAAAAATCACGAAAGAATTTTACGAGTCTTCACTGAAGGTATTGGTAGAATACTTACCCATGTGGCATTCTTATTCTGTGACTAATTTATTTATTTTTATTCCTAGTTATATAACTGAAAATTTGACTGGCCCCTTCTTTAAATTAAAAAGTTAACAACTATTTAAAATTAAAGTAAACTAAGATTCAAGAAACTCAAGCCTGAATTATGACTGTATTATTTAGTAATAACTTGTAAACTGTTAGTGTTAGTAACTTCGTGTAAAACTGTAATAGTAATACTAAAAAACGCAAAGTTTCCAATTTGGTGAAATCCTCTTGTCATTCAGTCACAACATATTAAAGAATCGAGAAAAGAAGCCTAAGCCTAACTTAGTTTGATTTTTACGCTAAAATTTTATACATCCTACTGTACAGGTATTAATTATATTATAACGCAACAAAAATTAAGAACGAACCCGATATTTAAATTTTCATTCCATGTACGTCTAACTTAAGTTAAAGCTTCAATCACACCTAGTAGTTTTATAATTGAAGTTTACTTTATTTACCAATATTTAACTACCAAAATAAAGAACTTGGGACTACCCATTCCTTGTCTTACTGAAAAATACAATAAATTATCAAACACATACCTAAATCAAAAACAATCAGTTTAGGTCGTCTTGTCATTTCTCTTTAGCTGAACTTTCCTCTACTCTAGTGGAGAGTAATTAAAACAGAAAAAAAAAGAAATGTGTGTGTTTAATTTGTAATAATTGCACAAAGGCAGCTAACAACAATTTAAGTACAAGAAACAATTTTCTCACCTTCAAAGTTATTATATTATAAAATAATAATAACACTTATTAAGAACTGTAGAAAAATAAATATATTTACCATAATATATTTTCAGTTTCCGTCTGCTGTCTTCAAACGAATAGCGAAAACCTAAATAACCTAATCGTTATGTTCCGTTCACAGATCTCTCATAAACAAACAAAAAAAAAAAAAATCTGCATATTTACTTATATTTATAGAGCAATGAAAATATATTCTAGACAAGATGTTTTAAAAAATTAAGTAATGAGTTGTTGCAGGTTAAATACATAGCAATTGCAAAGGGATTTACACCAAATATAGTAGATAGATTATTCAATATTAGTTTAAAATATTATGAAAAACTAAAAAAGAAACTTTAATTTCATAATTTATTACAGAATTAATAGATCAATTATTAACAAAAACAAAATGTTTGTTCCAGCTTTAAACCTATGAATTTTGTGGAATAACAAAGGTAGAATAGAAATAAAAGGCAAGATTGGGATATATAAAGTAGAATGTGAATGTGGCGGTATTTATTTTGGTCAAGCTAAAAGGTTCTTAAAGTACAGATCACGAGAACATAAAGGGTACGTAAGAATCAATAGAATAGGAAATTCAGCTCTAGTAGAACACAACTTTATGTGACAAAACTACAATCTTAGCTCACCTCATAATGTTACAGCTTCAAATATCCGAGAAGCATCTGAAATAATACAATCGAAAAAAACCCAATAAAAAACAAGTAGTAAATCGAGATGAGGGGCCATCAAGTCACTTAAATGATATATCGCATGACATATTGAAAATGTTTATCTGTGATTTATGTATATAACTTTGAAATATAATACCTCATAGGTCATGACTCGCAGAAAGTATAAATTGTCTTGTAAATAACTCTTGAAGACGAAGTAGAAGTGCGACGAAACATGTAAAGTTATAAGTGGAAGTCGTTGACGTCTATATTCAACTTTTAATTGTGTCAATACGAAATTTTGTATTTTTATTATTTATTTCATTTTAAACATTACACAATTGCTGATCATTCTTACTTGTGTAAACGTCTTACATTGTTTTTTCAAAAAGAAATCGTACGTTGATGGCTTTGTGTTCGTGGATTCGAACATGTTACAAGATGCCACACTTTGATTATAATAGCAGGAGTATGACTTGTTGCAGGTCTCTTTTTGGATTGTCTTGGTTCCCAAGATAATCAATATTCCTTTGTTTTCTAAATACCTAAACTGAATAAATTTTTATGATCCGTGTGCATGCATATTTTGCTTTGGAAAGGGCTTTTACATACATTTCCCAAAAGCGGCCAACTTTCAGTGTCATCACACTATCAATGAAACACCAAACAATGTCAAAATGTAATTCTGTGATGCATTCTTTCCACCTCTAATTTATATCGGCTGTAGTTGTCACATGAAATCTTAACCTACATATTCAAAATTGTTTTAATATAATATACTTAACTCTCTGTACTTATTCATATTTCTTGCCAAGTTTACACACAATAATTACACCTTGCAAGATGATTTTGAATTTTCGTTGAAAATGATAAACATTTGGTTTGAAGAAGGTTACTTAGCGCGTTTAGATACTGAGCCCTTATTTACAAACACTCCATTAAATTAGATGATTATGTGTTCATTTAGTTTTGGGGTAATGAATATATACATGGGTTTCGAATCGCTGTTGATATCTACGACGAATAATTTTCTTTTCACTTCAATCAAAAAGTATTTGAACAAATCAATGGAGTAAGTACAGGGTCTTGTTTAGCATCATTGGCGACTAATGTGCTCGTATGGACGTTTATGGTTGAAGGAATGTCCTAATGAAGTCAAACACAGAGTTTAAATTTACGTTAATATTTTTATTGTTTTGAAAAACGAAGTGCAGTTATAAAAGTGCATTGGTGGTACGAATAGCAAACTCATTAGTATCAAGTTCACATATGAACATTAAGTCTATAAAATTAATTTTGTGTCATCATGAATTTCGGGGCCCATGACGTTCAAAATTATAGGGAAAGCAAAAATTAATCTACTTTAGGCTCCATAGAAACTTTTCTGATTCTGCAAAAAAACACAACAACAACATACAAAAAAAAAAAAAAAAAAACGATCCCAAACACATAAAGTGCAACTTTTAACTATTATTAATGGTTTAAGTGGTTTTATCATTCACACTTTCCTGTGGTATTTTCTTAAATGTACTAATCCTTTTACTCAGATAGAGGCTGCATGATATTTCAGTGGCTAAAAACTCATTTCACTTTCACCCTTTGTCTGGAAGTAGTGGAGGACACATTTTCAGAAGTGACAGAGATACTTGTACAAATTGGTATGAATTTGAGGAGTTTTTCTCCTATATAAATATTACTTGGAATTTCTTGTAGTGTAAGCAACATTTTATTCTGGTATACCATACTTTTAACATTTTTGTTTAAATTTTGGCACAGTAAATCAGAATTCCTTAACATATTCCATCCTGTGCCACCATTAAAAGAATTATCATAATCTAACTTGAACGTTTCATTGAAATTCTTTCTTCAATTAATGTTACAGCAGAATTAGACACTGGCAAGTAGGTGAAATATTTAAAAACACATATTCATTTCTCTGTGAATAAAGATTGCTTACTTGTGATTCTTTCCTATACTGTCAATTCTGAATTTATTCTCTACAAATATTTTTTCAATCTGCGTTTTGCAGATACCATAAAACAGGGATTAATGGAACAGACATATATTCCTATTGGATATAGCACAATCCATTGAGAACTGATATGGGTGGAAAATCGGACGAAATTTCCATCATGGATAATCTTCACAACATCATGCAAGCATTATACTACTTGTACACGTAATTTGTATTGTCATCTAACCAAGTTGTTTTTACCAGCTGCTAAAAAAAAAGTAGCATTTTCTCTGGTATTAAGATTAGAAGCCCTAGTACTGATAGCTACTTAGCTTAAACAATGTAATGCCCATCTGTTTTGTTGTGATTTAATGCAACAGGTAGTCTCAGTAACTATAGTCTAGGAAATATCTTTTAAGGTTCCATTTATTTGGTCAATGTTAATATTAATAGAAAATTAATTTTCAGATATATAAAATTGTATCAGTGATTTTCAAACATCTCTCTTGTTATGACTGGTCAAACTGAAATTTTTAAGTAATCTCTGTGTATCTAGACATAATGACACGTGTTTATGATATCCTACATATACCTATTCAGAGGTATATTTTGTCTGAAATTTCAGATTACTAAAACCAGTCTAATAGAAATGCATAAATTTTAATGCTTTTTTTGTTGATATTTTAGACCCACTTGTACAATTTTTTTTAAATTCCTTTTAATAAAATTTCAAAGTGATGCTACAACTTGTGATGTGAAAATCTTACAATTAATGAACTTTTTTTGTAACAAACATTTATGGCTTCCAGAAGATTCAACTTAAGACTTAGAAACAAAGGTTCAACTGACCAATGTCACTTGTACCTCGGCTTTTATATTTAGTTTTCAACAAAACGAATTTCAAAAATTCAATTGGTAATAAAAGTTTTTACACAAACACACATAGACAAAAACAAGATGTTTTAATGCATTTATTGACTATAGAATTTTACCTACAAAAAGTATTAATTTCTGAGTAACTGAAATTTACAGAAACTTTTTGACCATGGTGAATTCTGAGACCTCCCGACTAATTCAGTGTTCCAGACCAATGATAATGATCCTGAAAGAAAGATTTCAATTTAGATCACACATAACCGAGACTAGGAAAGAGAAGTTAATGGTTGTGCCTTACGTTTGAAACAAACTATATTAAGTTCACAACAGAATGTATTTACTTACATAGTACCAGTTACAAACTAAGTAAATTGTTTTAAATATTGTAAGTGTATTAAGAGGGAAAAACAGTTGCGACACCTGTTGGTAATATATACTGATCATAAGTGAACATTTCAATTCATATTCAAACTAATGAAGCTAAAGAATTCTACAAAAACAATTTTCTGGCTTTCGTTTTTAGATGTTGTGTAAATCAGTTTAGTCAATAATTAATGATAATAGTGCACAAGACACCACATATGGTACTATTAAAGAAACTTAAGCTTATTTAAACCAAAATATGTGATTATTTGCAAGTTTTTATTCTGACTTAAAACATCTTTTGAATTAAATTTTGTCATGGCCACTCAATATCACTTCTTATACAAGACAGACAAATGGTAAAAAATATTTTATTTGTCTAGTTCATCTACACATATGATGTGTGTGTGTTTATGCATATACACGTTTTAAGATTAGGGAAACATTATTCAACAGATTTTTAAAACCCTTTACCTACTCTATTTTACCAGTGGTTTACCATCTTTCCAAACTATTTTTTTTAATACAGCTTGCTCTTTCATTTGATCAGCTACTTGGAACTCGGGTTTTAATGCTTTTCTCACTAGTTTAGAAGCAATTGAAGAAAAACGAAGATACCTGCAGAGCAAAAATGAAATAGTTTACAATTTTATGTCAAAAAGAAGCCAAATAATTCTCAAATTTATTTTCTATATTAGAAATAGTTGACTTTAGAACATAAAAAAAACATCTGGTATTGTTATAAAATTAACAACTATAAAACATTTAATTTTATTTGTTTATGGATTAGATATTTGTGAAACTAAAACATGTCCTATGAAAATTAAAAATCAAACTTTAAAGTTACCCCGTGTTTTTTAACAATTTATCGATTTCTATCTTAACGTCTGTAAGGTGATTGTCTCCTCTTCTGCTTTTTGCTACTCATTCCCTACGTTACTTACCCTTAGAAAAATAAAACTGCCTTAACTGGAACCTAACCTTCCTTTTCTAAATCTTGTGTCTTATTGTCTTCAGGATACAGCTCAAAGAAATGAGATATTTGTTTGTTGATCCCCAGATGTGTGGCATAGTACGAAACAAAAACAGTATAGTAACTTTGATGGATATGCCTTGAAGAACCAAAATTACCCCTCGATGTCCACATGTGATTCTAAATATTCTAAACTATCAACACAAGCTAATTCATTAGTTCTTGAAGTTAACAATCTGCTTATTAAATACTTAATGAGCATTAAAAAACGAAAATCAAATTTTAAATATAATTTTAAAGATTGAATCATAAAGACTGGGTGATGCTGTAGGATAAACTTTATGAGAATATTTAATATGTTTTATTATTAACTTACAATCAGAGCAAGCTCCCTACTTTAGAATGAAAACAAAAAAATCATCTTGGTAATGAGCATAGTTAATTATATATTTTCTAACATTCTTACTTAGAATGAATTGTTTCATCAGTTTGGCACCCTTGTTAGTGTTAGTAACTTAATGATTTTCAGTTATAACCTATAAGCCTAAAACATCTCACAAGATTTGGTCAACTTAGATTTAGGTTAGTCCTAAATTATAGTAAATACATATTAAGCTAACTATGCAAAACAAACTATAAGTATAATATTAAAAATATTAACTAAATAAGGTAAAACCTTAAACTTGTGGTGTTCAAAACCCTATACTAAAGCAGTTCGCTGGTATTAGTATTATTAGTAGTAGTGGTACACTTGGCTGTTAAAATAAATACTAAAAGTAAAACGTATTAGAAATAAAGTAGATTACTTTTAATATTACAGTCGGGAAGCATTTGTAAATTTTTACACTCATTGTACATTTAAGTGAAACTTTTATTATTATCTACTAGTAATAGTATTAGTTGCAATCCAAGAACGAAGGATGAAGGTCACCCGACCTTGCTACTGTACTGCGTCTTTACAACACTACTCACTAGTTTTAACATTTATGGAAATTTAAAACTAACAGAAAATGAAATACATACGTTAGTCCTGCCTGACGCCAATATGTCATTTTGTTCCTTTCGTGATATAGAAAAATTAATGTTATTTATACAATTAAAGCCTAACGAAATAACCAGCTACAAATATAGCAATAATACTGATAGGCCTAGTACACTATTAATATTACTTTTAGCTGCTATCCGTATCACGTAAAAGGGTCTAGGTGTCGCTTCACCAACTATTTCTTTCTGTACCGTTAAAAAAAAAGTGTGAGTATGAAACAGAAAGATAAGTTGATACTAATTTATCTTGCTAAAATAAAAATAAATAAACTGTATTTTGTCTAAACACCACAAAGTCAAGGCTGTAGATAAATGAGAATAGATTGAACTGTTATAAGAACATTATGAATTAGAAACGAGATTTGGAAAAAAAAAATCTTTATATATTTGAAGTCGATTTGAAAGTAGTTCTAATTACAAAACATTTGTTACGAACAATAACTATTATATTACACATTTTTAACATATTGTCAACATAATATGACCGAGAGAAATTGTTTTCTTAATTAGGAAAAAACTGACATGCTCATCAAGGAAAAAAAGTGACTTGACATAATTTATTTTAAGAACGAAAGGTGATAATTTATATATTTAAGAACTGTTTAGAAAAGTGCGGAGGTAATCAAAAAGAGAACAAATTCTAAAATTATTACAGAATTAATCACCATAAGTCGCAAAAAATGCAACTTTGACATTTTCTTTCAATAGTGATATGATCTGTATGTTCAAAATTGTCAAAAGGTTAAACAAAATATTAGTGTCAAGTCTAAAATATTCTAGAATAAGAAATATGACAGAAGACAATCAAATCATGCATTTCATATGGTTTACAAGAATAGCATGCAGGGAACGTTAGAAAAGTATTTCGATACATGGAGGCCCCAGCGGTGAGTTTGATGGCTTTTAACTATAAACACCGGGTTTCGAAACCTGTGGTGGGTACAGCACAGGTAGCCCATTGTGTATCTTTGCGCTTATCAACAAAATCAAAAATTGAAATATACGTATAGAATACACATTGTTTATAAATATAATAAACAATACAAGGAAATAATCCAGATCGTTAGTACAAACCAATCTATCGGTCAAATTAATCCATAAAATATAATTTTTCTGGAAACATCGCTACGTCTAGGCTTTTAAAGATTATGCTTAATATTGAGAGTCATAAACTTACACTAACCCCTTGCCTCACATTAAGGATACATACTATAATGCTTGTTCTATACAAGCTTATACCTATTTTTCCTGTTTCTGTTTCGATCTCATAAAGCGATATTAAACTAATTTCAAGGGGTGATACAGATATTTGTGCAAGTTAGTATAAGTTTGTATTCATTGAATACGTTTACTTGCAATAATTAATATTAACTTCTGAAATATGCTTAGTGTCAATAACAAGATCATGCGAGGGAAGGACAAGACCCTTTCTTCTGTAGAGCTACAGTTAATACCAGGTCTAGACGTTTGAAATGTGGGAGTTTGTGTAGTATATGTGTTCAGAGACTTCCACTTTAGAATGAATGTCCAATCTTTTCTCATGGGCAACAGAATGATAAGTTGCCACAGGAAAATCGTCCTTATTCTCTGCACAACCTCGTGTCTCTCCTTGCTCTATGGCCATACTGTCAGCATATCTCCCATCATGAAAAAGCTTACAACTCCCCATGGATCACCTGCTGGAGAAACAGCTGAAGGTGATGAATGTCATCCATCAATTGTGACTCAAAATTTTAGGTGGCATCGAGCGGAGTCAGCATTTAGATAATCTGGTGAGTGAATATCTGGAAGTTCTATAGAGACTGCCCCCTTCAGTCTTGGACTCACGATGACCCTCAGTCATCTATGTCTCCTATGCACCGAGATTGATATTCAGGTAGTTTTAAGTTTGTAGCCACAGCGAGAAAGCAATTATGAATAATCCCAGAATTAGGGAAAGTCTAATGTCCAGGAAATAATTTCTCAAAGACCCAACCACACTTCTCAAACAGCTGTCTACCCTCGGTGACAGACTCTTATTATTTGTTGTAAGTCCTTTGACTTGTGGAAAATGCCATTTTCTCTCGTACAAAGATATTTAAAGCATGAGAGTTTAGAAGAGTCCAGTGAAATGCACTTATCTAAAAATCAACCTCATCACTCAAAAAAAATCCCGAGATCCTGCACTAAAATTTCTGTTATGTTCCCAAACTCATCTTTTAAGTAGGTACCGCAGATTACGGGAAGTTCTTTAATCAAATTAATTCTGAATTACAACTTTGATTGAGTTTAAATAAGAGACTGGACAAGGTGTGGCAAATCAAAAATAAACCTTTATTCTCAAAAACAAAATGAAAGCCACGAGTGCACTGGACCAAGAAGAGTGCTTCATTAGAGTTGTAGATCAATATAGTGTTTGGTCTATCTACAGATCTACCTCTCCGTAGATCTAAAACCTGACCCAAACTGAAGGAGAATATAACATTATATAGAATATTCTATAATTCCATCCCTCTCAGTGCTCATGTGTTAGCCATGTCACTGACAGTTATTCCCATGAAAATATGAGGAAAGATGAATCTCAAGGTACCACCTGTCCCACCAGTGGAAATAATCACTGCCATCCTTTATACAATGTATAGTACTTCAGAGTACTCTTTCCCACGAGAAAGTTCACGTGAATGACGACGAACAATGGGTAACTAGAGCAAAAGGAACTTCGCCACATTTCTTGACCAAAATTATATTATTGAAACTACACATTCATAAAAACGTGTATATATATAAACATTTAAAAAATTCTCTGTGGAAATGTTATCTTACTGATTAAAGAAGGTAAGAAATACAACACATGCTTCTGCATACCACACTTTTATTAGACCAGTAGCAACAATCTCATCATTCGGTTAAGAGTATCTGTGTAGGTGGCGGATGCTTCCGACTGGTTACCTTTCCTCTTGTCAACAATTTTAAATTAGAAATGGCTTTACCTGGTCCAAGAAGTCAATAATCTAGCCGTTTAGCCAACATGTTGTATGAAATGGTATCCAAGTTAGAAAATGTCAAATATTTGTTGGTTTCTTTGGAAATTATTCCTGTACTGTTAAAATCCGCATCAGTGTTTGTAATACAGTATATTTGTTGAAAACGAATATACACCTTAAAAGTACGTCACAGGATATATATATATATAATAGATGTGTGCAAAAGTCCACGTGAAGCATTTAACTTGGCTTAATCAAACAAAATCTTTTAAAGCCCAGTTCATTCAAAACCATATGCTTATCACTTTCAGACGTTTCTGCATATTCAGCTAAGTTTATCTTCATCACAACTTTACATTGCAATAATTTTGTTTAGTTACGTTTCATAAACTGCTATAAATAATTTTCAGCTAATTTTTTCTTTACTACGGGTTTTATTATTCGTTTTTGTGAGTTTCTTAGTTTCAGCTTATAAAACCGTGTCATACAGGGAACACTCAAAACTGTTTCATACTCTGTACACTATTATTATTTTGTTTACTTTACGTGTAGGTTTATTAAATAAAGTTACTTCTACATGATTCTGACCATGAAAATTGTTTTGAAATAGACCAGGATTTATCGACGTAACACGTAATGCCTGCAAGAAAGCATAGCTTAAAGGGCAGGCATGGAAATGATAGAATAAGGAAAATTCAAGTAAAGGGCATGAATATTACCGCAAATGTTTTGCGTGCACGACTGGTGTGTGTTTGTATGTACACAACCTTGAACCAAGAATATTTTTTGTAACAAGACAAATATATATATATATATATATATATATAATAGGTACACAAATTGTCTTGGACTGTAATCATGGCAATTTTTTATTTTAACAGGCAGAAATCGGCCTAACTTCTGATTTTTTATGAAACAGCAAGTTCGACCCTCAGCTAGATAAGCAGTTTTACCAACATATATATCACGAAACCAGCACACCTATTTCAAAGTAGCTTTTTATTTCCTCGAACATGGTTGATTTTCCATGAAATTTTGAGCACAAGAATCAAAAAGCACGTGCAAAATACATTATATAGTCAGTCGGCCATTCTTTGTCACTGTTTGCTAGCTACGACATTCCAATCACATCCAATGACTTCAGCATCTTGGAAAGTGAAGCCAGAGAGAAAATGATGCACACCAAAGAAAGTTTGTGGATACACAAGTTGAATTTAGGCCAAATTTCAAGAGTACAGGTGCCCTTCCTTTGTGTAAAAAGTAGTAGTATTATATTCATTGTTATTTATGCTATAAAAAAAAACACCCTTTTCACCTTTCTTCTGGCTTTTGTTTTTGTAAGGGATATTACGAAAACAAAAGGCGACTACACAATTTTATATCCATGATGAATTATGGTTCTACGTAATTAGAATTGAAAAGATTAATGAAATTATATGAACGTCCCTGTAGGAGTTTTATTTAGTATTCAGTTTCTTTTGACACAGTCATTCCACACACGATTTAGAGCAGTTTGTAACCATGGTTCTCTGTAGTAGTTTACAAACAACAACAGTACTGAACTTAACAGTTCCTGGTGACAGTCACATTATTAAACTTTTAATCAATTAACTATTCTACAATATTTTATCTTCTCTGTAGTAGTTTATAAACAACAACAGTACTGAACTTAACAGTTCCTGGTGACAGTCACATTATTAAACTTTTAACCGATTAACTATTCTACAATATTTTATCTTCCCTGTAGTAGTTTACAAACAACAACAACAGTTCCTGGTGACAGTCACATTATTAAACTTTTAATCAATTAATTATTCTACAATATTTTATCTTCCCTGGACTGCCATTTTCTGGACCAAACTGTGCCTATCTTGACAGATAAAAAAAAAAATATTATTAATATGTCGAGTGCCCTCTATAAATATTTTATATTTCTGAAAACAAATACAAACCCAGTGAAATCCGGATGTACTGATAGACATAGACATTTATCTTCAGTTGCTCGTTGTTAAGAAATGTTTACTAATACAGTTCAAAGTAACCTCAAAATATTGTGGCTTCTGATGGCTAGGAATCAAATTCCATCTGATCAACACGGCTTATTACATTATTCACGCGTTCACTAAACTGATAAAAAGCATATTCAGGTTTCATCCAGTCAAAATAATGAATGACAAATCTGTAAACATGTCATCCATGAGAAAATCCGTACGATGAGGTACGTGACAACCTTGCTGACTTCCACTACGTTGGCATGGTCTGTAAATCTGAGATTTAAGTGTTTGTAAGCAGTAGTTCATCAGTGTTTCTTTCTGATCCTTGCAAGTCACATACTTAACTACAGTGTATAACGTGTCAACCACATTTAAATTTAACATTACACAACCTACAAACTACCAGCTACAGCTTATAACACAGGAATTTTCAGAGGATACAGTGGACAACCTTATATATGTTTTTCCTCCTTTTGTACTGTGGGATATTTAAGAATTAACACTTGTTAATTAACACTGCAACACCTGTTCAAGTACTACAGACAGACTTGAAAAAGTTGTACTTTTTTTGTTATCAACAGTAATCTTAACATTTTATTAATGTTTTCATAATGCTGCTGTTGTGCTGGTGATATATCAGTTGTATGAAGTAGAAAAAGTAATAAATTCAATATATACCTCTACAAGTTACGAGTGTGTTTGGTTACCTAAACATGATGTTTCCGTGTTGCAACAACATTTTAGTTTAAAAGTTTCTAAATAGTTATTTTCACCCAGAAATGTTTTGAAGATAGAAGTAAACGATGCAAGTATCGTTCCCACACGATCTTGGGCCTAATGTTTCAATCAATCACAATATCTCTATCCTAATTTACTGTTAGAATATCATCTGTTTTAACAGTCCATTTAACTACACAACAGAAAAGATCACCACGAAAAACTTTAGTTTATTTGAAATTTTCCATCAACTAGACTTCATGTATTCACACTGTTTGTTTTTACCTCAAACCATTACTACACAATACTTTTGTCTAATACACCTTATAGATAAGGATTTTATCAATATTATAACCTTTACATATCATCGTTATATTCTTTACAGCCTTCTTGTATCACGATATGATACGTTAACATTATTATAAATAATACAGGTTAACACACTCCAAGTGATAAACATGGTAACAGAAAACTGAACAATAAGTTAGATAATTGTTTATAAAATCAAATTCACTTCCACAATTTACATAAGATCTACAAGTCCTAATTGATTAGAACTACTGTAGCAGTTTTAAGATGCTACTCAAGATCTACAAGTCCAGCTCAACTGATACTATTGTTAGTTTATTTTAAGATGCTACTCAAGATCTATAAGTCCAGCTCAACTGATACTATTGTTAGTAAATTTTATCATGCTACTCAAGATCTACAAGTCCAGCTCAACTGATACTATTGTTAGTTTATTTTAACATGCTACTCAAGATCTATAAGTCCAGCTCAACTGATACTATTGTTAGTAAATTTTAACATGTTACTCAAGATCTATAAGTCCAGCTCAACTGATACTATTGTTAGTAAATTTTAACATGCTACTCAAGATCTACAAGTCCAGCTCAACTGATACTATTGTTAGTTTATTTTAACATGCTACTCAATATCTACAAGTCCAACCTGACTGATACAATAGTAACAGTCTACTTTAACAATGTATTACAGAAAATCTTTATGTAGAATTACAACTTGATTAAGACTTTTTAAAACAGTTTAATTCAACACATGCGAGTTATTGGTCCAAATACAATCAATCCGGGATGAGTTATACGAGATTCCTTGAATGAAAATGAACATTCAGTAACAATAAGATAAAATCCAGAGCTCAACCAGTACCCATTAACAATCACTGACAATATTACAAAGATGAAAGTTAAACAGTTACAGGTATGTAATCTTTACAGATCCACCCACTGCGTATTGTTTCACACATCATTATTCGTAGAATTTACACCCAATTCTCTAGAACCACCACCACAAAGAAGTCTTAGTTCAGTCAAAAAGACACAAGATCCAAACAGGATTTCTAACCGTTGAAACGTATACTCTTTCAATACTTAGGGGGTACTACAAAACTTTCTAGAACAAGTGCATCTTTATTAGATACATAAGTGATATCTCAGCAAGCTTACTTATTCAAATAGAGCTTTGTTCTTCAAGCACTAAACACTCCTTCACTTTGTAAACATCAATAAATATAGTAAAGGTTGTCGACGTTAAAGTTATATCAACTGTTACTTTCTAAACTAGTATAAATTATTAATAGGATCCATTTTCTAGACCAAGTGATCACAACAGTGGGGTTTGTTCCCTTGTCGGTTGTTTAATCTCACCAACAAATTATAAAGTTACAACTAGTACAGTATACAAGGGATGCTAACCACTTCTATCTAGTGTTTAAATTACAGCATAATCTCGTCCTACTGGGTGCAGTTCTGTGTTTGTTCTTTCATCACAATGACAGAAGAAAAGAAAGTTAAAATCTTCCAAAAGTATCAAATAGAGAGTGAAAAAAAAAAACAAAAAACAAGGGGGGGGCCAATAAATAAAGTTCAGACCTTCAACTTACAGTAAATATGCTGAACTTTGACCTACAAATATTTTTTATTATGGAATACTTATCGAGGTGTGTAAAGCGAAACAGTATTGGAACTGTGTGGATTAAGAAGATAGGTCAGACATTCGCGTGACATTGTTGAAGTCTGACATTCTGTAAACATGTTGCAATAAATTTATATAACCTTTTATTAGGTCTATAGATAAAAAATCTAAGGAAATGTCTGTGTATATTATATATATATATATATATGTGCATGTGAATATATACATGCACATATATATATCTATATGTGCATGTGAATATATACATGCATACATGCCTGAAAGCTACCCTATGTTTAGGGTGTATATTAATTTTTGTAGATTTCTAACACTAGTCTTACCATTATTAAGATGTTGTTGCTATCTATGTGGACCACAGGGGGCAATGGTGTATGTGACTAGATCCTAGTCACACACCAACACTTTTCATTAGTGCCCTGTTGTGACTGATTTTGTGTAGTGTCCTTGAATTTCAGCAAATTAAAAAAAAGTTTTGTACTTTGTTCTATTGTGACTTTAATTCTAAACACTTGAAGTTTTTATCACTAACCTACAACTATGTACATGGAAACGAACAATATAGATAATTACTGACGATTAACTTAACAATATAATAAGGCAGTGCCTCCAAAAATATTAAACAAGCAATAATTAAATTTATAACAATTAAAAAAATTATGTTTAATAGACTCGGGAAGGTATACATGTATAGTAGTGTTTTCTCATCTTGCGTAAATTACACGTTGAATATTTGATTTTTTGTGTTAAGTAGGGTTCTGAGCAGCTGGTCGTGTAGTATACAATCAGGTATCTAACTCATGGTGGCGTGTAGGTTAAACAAATAACTACCACATGACCACAGGGGTGTAAAATCAACCCGAGTTCTATTTACACGAGCCTAAAGGTACTTCCAATTTTCACAAACCCACTGTCTGCTGAGGTTTATGTCATATTTCATCTGATCTCTATAAAACAAAATGGCTCATAAGCTTTGTGACGTTGCTCTAGGCAACAAGGGAACTACAGATTTATTTAGTCTTACCTGTATACCATAAGTAGTAACTTAAGTCAACACAAAGTACAGCATTTGGAGGAAAGCTTCGTGTCGACGACAACTTGGCGTTCATTTCTGAGAGATTGGATGTTTCTGGTCATACTTTTGGAACGACTACGTTCCCTCCAGCCATTCTGACTGATATCAAACTTAGTTGCAGAATGTACCAGTTGCGTCAGTCCGTGAGTTATGTTTTTCAGTCGGTGCCCTTGATCTTTTCTTGTCGATTTACTGTCATTTTTGCTGTACAAAGGAAGATTTTCTATTTGTTGAAGTAAAGTGAAACCACTGTTTACGCTTAAACTGAGTGGAACTTTACTGGAGGGATTTGTGAAACTTAAAGATTCCTGAAGAGTGAGGTTGCTTGGATCTTCTTGTCTTGGAAATAACGAATTCTGTTCTGGAGATTCTTCTTGAAACTTAATGTCTTGTGAAGTTGTCAACTGGTTGTCCTCTGTGTAATTCACAAGAAGATCATCACAAGAAACAGAACAGGTGAGACATTGCTCTATGTCTAAACTATCAGTGCTGTCCGTTGAAAGTACCGTAGTGTTAACAGAGGAAGGTTGTATAGAAAGGTTGGACTCTTCTACTGCCTCATTTTGTTGGCTTTGTGACTTATTACTGTTGGTTTTACTACCGTCTGACTTGTTATTTACAGAACTTTGACCACCACCTCCTCCTCCACTCATATTACCATGAGATGTTCCAGCTCCAGGCTCGGATTGTCCTGATCCTCCACATCCCTCACCCTGCCCACCTGAACGGTCTTCACTACTATCTCTTCTCCCTGAACTCTTTAACTTCCCCATCTTTCGTTTAAGCCCTTCACCATCATCATCACTTGCCTCAGAGCTACTGCAGCTAGTTGTACGAGATCTTCCTATTTTTGGACGCTGTCCTACCAGACGAAACATTGCATGTGATAAAACAGAATGTGGACTACGTTTTCCACTCTGGAAGTGTTTTCGTGAATGTTTGGAACCGAGGGTCTTTGTAGAAGGTTCAGTATCTGATGCCACTTCTTCATCTATTTCATTTAGAAGCAACTGTGGAGAACTTTTCACAGCATGAAGCCCTCTACCAGATGAAGGCAAAGTTTTAAATTTTTGATTTGGAAATGCTAAAATTGGAGATAGTTTTGGTTTAATAGTTGCAGACTTTATCCTGCTGTGGAAAAAAAGAGGAAGTGTGGGGCGTGGCACAGGAATGCTGCTCTTGTCTTTCTTTGTTGGTAATGAAGCTTGTGGGGGTAACAACTTTGCAGAGCTACTGCCGTCATCTTCCTCGCACACTACGCTACACTTACGTGCCATCGGCAAATACGACTGGCCATTCTGTGCAACAGTGGATGAGAAACTTGAAGGAGCAAGAAAGTTGGTTGAACCCAGTGGTTTTGCTACAACTCGGGGTGATATTAAACTCTCAAGTACGGAGTTTGGTTTTTCCTGACCCGGTGAGAAGTCACTTGGGTTTCTGAAGATAGAAAAAAAAAATCAAAATGATTATTGGAAACTCATAATTTTGTTTATTGAATTTCCCACAAACTGACACGAGGGCTATCAGCATTAGCCACTCTAGTCTTGAAGTGATAAACTAGAGGGAAGGCAGTTAGTCAACACCAACTCTTGGGCTACTCTTTACAAATAATACCCCCATGGCTGAAAGAAAGTTACCTAATGACTAGTCACTAAAGTCAATAAACTATTAGTAAGAATCACATGATAACTTAAATAGTTTGTAAAAAATAAACTAATTAGTCCTTTTAAATTTTTTGGCAAACTTTGTTTACAGATAAAAAACATGTGAAACATTTATCTACTGTACCTAAAAAACGTTTTTGTTAATGTAGAAATTGTAAAAGACAAGGTAAGTAGAAACTTATTATACATTGAAAACTTTAAATGAAAGCTATAAAAACTATGGTTTGTCTGAGCAGTAATGATTTTATACTAAGTAATTTACATTGAATTTTGTACTTATTGGAGGGGTGGTGGATAAAATAGAGAAGAGGGGATGCCTAGAAAAAATGTGTCACACGTGTCACAGTTGGAGAATTCAAGATTTTTTTAAATATTGCCTTATGAAATTAAGAACTTAAAACTTATACACTATTAAAATATGGATTATTAGCTATGATTTTATGCTATACTAATTGGTATAACACAAACAATGAGTAAATTAATAAAACCTCGTGACATGCTCAGTAAAGGATGACCATAATTATTTAATTTTATTATATTATTTTGCCAGAGTGAGGCACAGCCTAATATTTTAACTTTGGTGATAACACTGCTATTGCCGAGTATTACAGTTTTTTAAAAGACTTAATAAGAGCTGAACATTTGTTCCAAAACATTGATAAAAAACACTATTTACTCATGAGTTATTACAGTAAACATAAAATAAAGAGAAGTCAGTTCTTACGATTAAACATGTTTGTCCTTGAAAATCTCGGAAACATTTTGTTGTCTGCTGACTAAATGTCTTCGTACTCAATGTTACAATATACAAACTTCACTAACCCTGATGTAATGGGTGAAAGGTCTCCTTTGGAAGTTCTGTTTATCCTTCGGGCCTTTTCCTGCCGCTGACCTCGAAGACTTCTCTCTGCCAACAGGAAGTACGTAGCAGTGATGTGATTGTACTCATTCTTTTTTAGTGCTCTAAAAATAATCAAGAGAAACATCTTTCTACAAGTTCTATTAACAAAAAACAACAACATCTGAATAACTTTCTCTTCTTAAAAAAAGTGAACTAAAACTGTAGTTAAAAAGAATTTTAACAGTGAACAGTAAGGTTTTAAGTAAACAAACTAAAACTGTAGTTAAAAACAATTTTAACAGTGAACAGTAAGGTTTTAAGTAAACAAACTAAAACTGTAGTTAAAAACAATTTCAACAGTGAACAGTAAGGTTTTAAGTAAACAAACTAAAACTGTAGTTAAAAACAATTTTAACGGTGAACAGTAAGGTTTTAAGTAAATAAACTAAAACTGCAGTTAAAAACAATTTTAACGGTAAACAGTAAGGTTAAGTAAACAAACTAAAACTGTAGTTAAAAACAATTTTAACAGTGAACAGTAAGGTTTTAAGTAAACGTTATATACATATCTATATAACAATCATAAGAAGATTTAACAGTCCATCCTGTTTGTGCCGGTGCTATGGAAATGCTTGTCATTCAAGTTAATTCTAAGTAGCTTTATACTGTCAGTGAAGGGTACTTGTTACAAGTTTAGCGACACTACTTGTATCATTCTGAACACACACACTTGATTGGAGAATTCTGTCAACTGTGTTGTACCTTGGACATTTCCAACTACTGGGAAAGATACACAAGTCTTCAAAGAGGAATGGTCTTCACTTTCTTTCAAACAGGGTAAGTGTATATAAAAATAAACCATCAGAATAACTTCTAGTTCGATAGATTTGAAAACGATTTTCAATCCCTACTTGGATTGGCAAATTTAGACTGCTCCGTTTAGCTATCCAACTCGTATCATTTTACTTGTTCGTGTACTTTTTTTTTATTGCAGAATGTATTTGGTTTTTGGATACTTCTTATAACTATTCTACGAGCAACCAATGATCCCCACTTTCCATTAAAATTTTAATTTTTACACACAATCTTTGGTTCTCACAGACCCAGCCAACCACTTACTCTAGTATCTCTTCCTTAGCAGCTATGCTTCCCTTCACCAACTTCTGAATAATGAGTGCATGGTCCTTCTCAGAAAGATGTTCATGAGAAATTAAAGGTAGATAATCAGCTGGCTGAATGAGATCCCCAGAGTTTAACCAGCTGTTGTTCGCAATCTCTTCTAAGGTGGCTCGTCTTTCCGGATCTCGTACCAGCATGCTTGCTATCAGACTGAATATTATCAAAATAAATCATGCAAGAATGCTTTAATATCATATATATAGAAATACCTCAGTTAATTAAATGTTTGCCATAATTGCTGGTAATAATAATTAATGTATCATAAAGTCCTAAGCATGTTTCAGAAAAAAGACAACCTCTTGCTTAACTCACATTTTTACAGTAGCTAGTGTATTTTCAGCTTACAGGTTTAGTATAAGCATAAACAAGGAAAATATTACATAATCAATTTGTGTGTTGATGAATTAAAATATGCTTGTTACTTCTCACACAAGATCACTGGGTTCCTTGATGAGTATAAATAGCTCTAAGATAAAGCAAATAATAGAACAATAGGTCCTTAACAGTTCTTACAAAAGTACATGTATCCAAAGGAATAAGTACACTCATCCTAATTCTGCATTTGTTTTACAAAGATGGAAATGTAGAAATAAAAAATCTCAACCAAATGTGTCACCTAACAATTCTCACTTTTATATATGTGTCACCTAACAACTCTCACTTTTATGTACGTGTCACCTAACAACTCTCACTTTTACGTGTCACCTAACAACTCTCACTTTTATATGTGTCACCTAACAACTCTCACTTTTATGTACGTGTCACCTAACAACTCTCACTTTTATATATGTGTCACCTAACAACTCTCACTTTTATATATGTGTCACCTAACAACTCTCACTTTTATATATACGTGTCACCTAACAACTCTCACTTTTATATGTGTCACCTAACAACTCTCACTTTTATATACGTGTCACCTAACAACTCTCACTTTTATATACGTGTCACCTAACAACTCTCACTTTTATTCACAAAACATCAATGTGTTGCACGCATACTTACTTGCTTGATCCTTTTGATATATATTAACACTAGCTTCACAAAACATCAATGTGTTGTACACATACTTACTTGCTTCATCCTTTTGATATATATTAACACTAGCTTCACAAAACATCAATGTGTTGCACGCATACTTACTTGCTTGATCCTTTTGATATATATTAACACTAGCTTCACAAAACATCAATGTGTTGCACGCATACTTACTTGCTTGATCCTTTTGATATATATTAACACTAGCTTCACAAAACATCAATGAATTGTACACATACTTACTTGCTTCATCCTTTTGATATATATTAACACTAGCTTCACAAAACATCAATGAATTGTACACATACTTACTTGCTACATTCTTTTGACACGTGACTCGGAAGTGAATATTTACAATCCATTATCATCGTCAGCGTCTCACTATCGTTGGCTTCCTGAAAAGGGGCGTGGCCACAAACTAGCATGTACAAAATCACACCCATACTCCATACGTCTGAGATGGAAAAAAAACAAACAAGTATTAAAATAAAAACTTTGTTTTTCTCTATAAAACTACCAATACAAATGAGACACGTTCTTTTATAAGGCCCTAACGTAGACTGTTGGTAACACTTTCTTTCAGTCTGTTTAAAAGATCAATTCTGTCATGATATAACTTTCAACTAAACATATATATCAATATTATTTCGATGTACTGAGTGATTGAACGTCAATCCAGATATTGAACTAGTGATTTTAAAGTTTCTCTAACTAAACACAAGATTTTATTCAATAAACATTTGAAATCCTCAAGGTAACCAATAGAGAAACTTTAAAATCACTAGTTCAATATCTGGATTGACGTTACTAAACACAAGATTTATTCAATAAACATTTGAAATCCTCAAGGTGACCAATACGTCCTGGTAATGAATAAACTACAAAACGGCTAAAAATGAGATATATAAAAAGAATAGTTAAAATATGTTTACTTTTCATCGTAATATTTCAACAATTAGTTAGTTGTTTTGTAACCGTATGTGTCTAGGAATGTTTTTATGGGGGTGTTTCAAAAATTCTTACAAAAAGGTGTTCAATATGTTTTTAGTCATCTTTAATCATTATGTCAAGTCTCTCCTTACACGAAATTACCATAAATGTCTGTTCTGGACTTTGGTGAAAATAACAAGTAAAATACAAATCTTGGGACAGTAATGGCTCGCACAGATACCACTTTGAGAACGACCTTCGTGTATTCGTATAATTCTGATTGGAATTCTATGTACTTGTATTCAACTATCTTTTTTTGAACAAGTCACTCTACTGTGACTCTCCACAAGGCTTTGGCATATATAGGTTCTCTTCCATGACATTAGCTGTATTGTTTATCTATCTAACACTCAAAGCCTTAAATGAATAATTGATAGAGAGATAAGAGTCCCAGTTGTAACAATCTTGTTCTTTCCCACGTATAACTATCAGTTGTCAACAATAACCTCGACTAGCTTATTAACGACTGATAACTAGTAATCCCAGAAAAGGTTTATTAACACATTAAGAGGAATTACACAGAGAAAAATTTCACAAATACGCAACAAGTGACATTCACGTGCCGAGCAGTGAATCCAATCAGACACCGGTAGATTAAAACTTACGTGATAATGCCTGAAGAAGCAATAATAACAAAATATTACCAACCCCTCACATCTCTCTCTTAACCTGATGGTTAATTATTCATACATTACAACTCAGCATGCATTGTTACAGCTTGCTTACCACTGTTAACTTCATGTCACATCACACGCTGCAGTTTATATTGAGTCAAGATGACTGGCCAAAATGCAAGCAGGAAACTTGTAACATATTATCAATAAAACATGTGGGTGTATACTGATACGATGAGATACATGATGCCTGAACCTGAAGAAAGAAATAATGATGATATCATTCCTGTCGTAGTAACTCATAGCCCTGTTTTAATGGATCATGATGAAAGAAAGACGTTTTCTTTCTGCGTAGGTTATACGGGATCATGTATACATATACACACAATGACATACAAATATTATCACTGAAATTTCTGAGAATTACTGTTTATTTACAGTACGTCACTCGTATGAAGCTAGCTTACCCCACTATATCTTATATTATTTGCAGAGGTTGGTCCTGGGCACCGTGACAGAGATGCCCACAAATGTGCCATTCTTCCTTGGCAGTGAAAACACAACAAGGACAAAAATATAAAAATATATTAGGGTCTCCCTTTCATGGGGACAAAAAAAAAAAAAAGAAAGAAAGAAAGAAGGACAAATTAAGGGTCCTCTTCTACATAAGAAGACAAACTGGATACCTAACTGGATTAAAACTAACATCAGAAAGAATAGCTTAAGTCCTGTACATTGATTAAAAATATCACAAATACAGCAAGCATGAGGAGAAAATGGGGTTAGAATATTGACATTAATCATCACCTGTGGCCTGCAGTGGACAAGTAAGATAAATGGGAATTCATCTATGTCTCATTCCACAATTGATATAAATATTAACTAAAATTTTCTGCACACACAAAAAAATTGATAGAACAAACAACAGTTAAATAATCGCAATGATTTTATTAAGAAAAATATCTTTAAATTACTTGTAAAAGGATCTTAATTCTTGTATAACCATTTGTGCTAAGACAGGTGAAAGGCCTGTATTTTAAGTTCCAGCTTCTGGATCCAAGAAAAAAAAAAAATTGAACTCAATATATTTTGTATATACTTGTCCTAATAAAAATATCAGTTGTATGTTTATTTCTTAACAATATTGTCAACACAAAATAATCAAAGTTACAGTGTTTTGTTTTACTACATTTAATTTCAAAGTGAATAATGTTTCTTCTTAATAGTTTGCTTCATTTCAAAGATTTATATCAAGGTGTATAAACTTGGTTTCTTGCCAAATTTACAATGAAAGCTCTACATATACACATGAGAGTAAATACCTGAAAGAGGATGACATACATTTCCTGCCAGAGAGTTATAAAGACACATCACGGTTATAAAGACTGTAGAACAAAAGAAGTCTGGCAATCTAATCTGATGTATTACTATGATCTTTAAAGTTCAACACACGCACAAGTCACTAAAGTTAAACATCACAAACACTTCATTACACCGTTACACATATATTAACAGAAAGAAATGTATCATAATAGTTTGTTCTGGGCCCAAAGTTATATGTGTCCAACAATTTAAAACTATGTAACTTTTACCTGAAGTATAAACAGTTTAAAACCATATCATTTTAAGATGTTGTTAGATATGATCCGTGTAATTCCACTAGTTACAGCAATTTAAAACTATGTAACTTTTACCTGAAGTAAAACAGTTTAAAACCATATCATTTTAAGATGTTGTTAGATATGATCCGTGTAATTCCACTAGTTACAGCAATTTAAAACTATGTAACTTTACCTGAAGTATAAACAGTTTAAAACTATATCATTTTAAGATGTTGTTAGATATGATCCGTGTAATTCCACTAGTTACGGCAATTTAAAACTTTTATTTTTAATGAAATAACATCAAACACTTTTTTTATACTTTAGACGTCTTTTGGCGGGCCTTTAATCAG